TGCAAAATTTAAAACAACAATTTTAAGTTTTCTGTGTATCTTATTCTATTCTATACTGTATTTATTAAAATGTATTTGTGTAGTTTTTTTATGTATTTATATAGCCATGTATGATTTTTGTATATTTTAACGTTTTTATCTCACTGACCAGATTATACTGTTATATACTTCCATATTTTTGGGCATTTGTTTCACACATATGTACATATGTCTTATTTTATAACTTTGATCACCAAATAGCTGTGATGTTTTATCGGCATAAAATTGTCACATTAGGATATTATTATGCACCTTATGCTTGGTGCAAGTTTTGATACTGAAACGAGGATACTGGTTGCGTATTACCGCTATTGTCCTCGGACGCATTAATATATGCGCTATTGCACTTATGAGTATCACTCACTATCAGGGTGGATTTGATTTAAATCAAACTGATTTAAATCATGATTTAAATCACTAGTCAGTAAGGCTTGATTAAAATCCTAGTTTTCTACATAAAGACTAATTCTTGCTGCTATAACTTTAATATGCAAGTAGATGAAGATTTTTAGAATAACAACTTTTTCATATTAGTTTTTTTATCCCCAGTTTTAATAGGTTTAATCATTCATATTTGGACAACTTTTCTGTTGTACTTAGGAAGGAGAAAAATAATAATTACCTTAATAATAAACAATTTTAAATAGATTTATTCATCTGAAACAATAATATTCCAGCATATGTTATTTGCTTAAACATCCATGTTTGTTAACTAATTTGGCTAAACAAAATATATATATATTAAGAAACTTAGACTGTCAGCCCCTCCCCCTCACACTTAGTTTCACTTTCTTCTTGTGCAGATCTATTCCACTCCAAACAATCATAAAAATATTATTTTCTATTCACTGAACTTCTTGAAACTTAGCACTGAAGGGGTTGATTCTGTATTCATAGGTTTGTAGAAGTTAGGATGAAGGTCTTTTTCTTAACTCTGTTCATGTTATAACATTTTTGCTGTGAAGAAGAGGCATGTGATCTCCGCTGAGTCCAATTCAGTTTTGAGAACTGCAAAAGTAAACCAATCATCTGTGATAATATCTTGTAGGCAGAGAAACTGCCCAATAATCTTACAAAAAAAAACCTCTGGAAGAGCGTGACATTGTGAATGGATTCATGGAATTTATTTACCAAAAAAAATTAAACATATACAGCCTTATTCTACATAATTAAAAAACTAATCTTTATTTCATGGTGGAATAACCTTTGGACGGTAATATATTTTCCTCAAAAAACATTTTATTTTAAAAAAATCCGATTTAAATCAAAAAAATCCGATTTAAAAAAAAAAAATCTGATTTAAATCAAAAAAATCAGATTTTTTTTATTTAAAAAAAAAATCATTGATTTTTATCCACCCTGCTCACTATACTAACATTAGTTCACAAATCATGGGTTACAGAACATAATTTGTTATCTGTTTCTATGCCGTTAGTATGGCAAGTTATAGCATATTCCATTGTTCCCTAGCGATCCTAGTGTAATATACATGGTTCGCTTCTTCATTGACACGGCACACTCGCACATGCGCGGTCATGCCGACTACGCCAAGATGGCGCTGGCGCATAGACACTGCACTATCGTCAATTGGCGCGCGGAAAGCGCATGCATCGTTATGTTGCCTACGTCAAAATAGCGCTGGCGCATGGTCATTGAAGAATCGAGAATTGGCGCGCACGGAATACGCATGCGCCTTTACCTTATATAAGCATTGTGAAGCGTCCATTGCTGCATACACACCCATGAATACGTGCTATTGCATGAAACGCGTCAGCGAGGAGCTACAGCATCTGGACGCCAACGCCGCCGACACCACATTGGTCTCGGTGGCCATCTTGGAATTCCACCACTGGTCAGTGTGATTTACTGTATCACACTGGACAGATGGGGGGCAGCGTGACAGGGGGGCATGGGACAGGATCAGTGCAGGGGGACAGGAGGAGCGCAGTGGGACAGGATCAGTGCAGGGGGACAGGAGGAGCGCAGTGGGACAGGTGAGGGGCAGTGGGACAGGAGAAAGCGCAGAGGGACAGAAGGGGGGCAGCATGACGGGGGGTTATTGGACAGGATCAGGGCAGCAGGACAGGAGTAGCGCAGAGGGACAGGTGATGGGGCAGATGGACAGGAGGAGCACAGCGGGACAAATGGGGGGCAGCATGACGGGGGGCATGGGACAGGATCGGGGAATGGGGACAGGAGTAGCACAGAGGGACAGGTGAGGGGCAGATGGACAGGAGGAGTGCAGCGGGAAAAATGGGGGGGCAGCATGATGGGGGGTATGGGACAGGATCGGGGAATGGGGACAGGAGTAGCGTAGAGGGACAGGTGAGGGGCAGATGGACAGAAGGAGTGCAGAGGGACAGGTGGGGGCACTGGGGACAGATGGGTGGTAGTGGGACAATGTGGGGGACAGGAGGGGGAAATGGAACAGGTGTGGGGTAGGGTGACATGTGGGGGGCAGTGTGATGGATGGGGGGCAATGGGACGGGGGAGGGAAGCGTCCGTAGAACAGGTGGACAATATCAGAGGACAGTGTGAGACAGGACCGAGGGAGCACCAGTCCTCCCAAGCACTTACCTGTCCAGCAGCGGCTCCTCCAGATGGTGTCAGGGTCATTCCAGGTCGGGTTCCTGTGTCCCTTCTCCCCCCAGGATCTCCACGGCGGCAGCGGCTGCAAAAGAGCGAGCGGGCGGGCTCCGCCCACCTGACCTCGTCCTCTTCTGCTTCCTCCTTCTGGCCTTCCTGCACATCCCGGCACACTGACAGCTGGCCCCGCCCCTCACACGCTGCGAAGAGCGCACACCGGGGATCCGCCCACCACTCCGCGTCCTCTGCAGCCGGTGACATGCGCAATTGCGTCAGGGAGACAGATCTTCATGGGGGGACAGATCTTGTCGCTACAGTGGTCCCTTAGCCATGGCGGCCCTGCCCCTGTCCCTTTCCCACGGTGCCCCCACTGAACTGTCCCACTGCCGCCGTGCCGCCCCCCTGAAAAGTGCCGCCCTAGACAAATGCCTAGTTTGCCTTGCGAAAAATATGCCCCTGATTTGGTGAGTGCACAATCTTTATACCATGTGGATATATATCACTACCCTATCTGGATCAGATCACTGGATCCTGAAGATCTTTATAATCTCTTATGGACCTTAATGTTGGACTTTTATTTTACACTTTGCACATCCCTAGTCTCTGATATTAGTGACATGTTAAGAGCACTGTTTCATCACCTATGTTGATGTGCGGAATTAAGTTTTATCCATCCTATAATTGATCTATTTGGAGCTTTTTTTATATGTAATAATCATATGTGTTTTATGCTATCCATGCTATTTTAAGTCATTTATTTACTGGATTTTGTTGTCTTCAAGTTCCACTGTTTTCTTGTATCATTTGATCTAGTTATTCTACAGCTTGCTATGGGTGCACTCAGTGGAGTGGGAGGAGCCAAGACGGCTGGTGGGGTACCCCGGGATAAGAGGTCTGGGACCGTTCTGTGCAAAACCGTTGCCCAGAGCAGGTAAGTACATTTTTTGTTTTTAATGTTTGTTTTTAAAAAAACAATTAAAAACAATCACTTTACTTAAAAAGTGTTGACATTGATGGACCATGACAAGGAATAAGTCTAAATTCAGACTATGATATTCATCTTGTACAGATGTCTATCGATAGCTAAAGCTAAAGAATACCCAATTACTGAATGGCCCAGCCTGCAAAAACACATAACAGAAATGCTGAAATTAAAGTAAAGCAGCCCAACACATGGACAAACTTCTGAAGCCCTACCAAAATATCAGGGAAATGAGGAACTGGACTTCATAAATTGTATCACTGGGATACACACACATTTTAGTGGATGTTTTGAATTTGGTATAACTGTTACATTTCCTAAACAACATAAAGTCTACTTAGGCAGCAAAAACAAGTAACAAATATTAAATTTTAATATGTTTGTGATTAAAATAGGAAGAAACTGAGATGGCAGCACACTGGAGAGCCAGTCAGCTGTTCTTGCACAGAACACAGCTATCTGGGTCACCTGAGATCCAACACACCCCCCTTTACAATTCCCAGTTAGCAATGTCTATACTCCCTTATTTCTATACTTGTTGCCTAGAGCTATTATCTAACCAGGGGCGGACTGACCATTCGAGCACTCGGGCACTGGGGTCAGTAGGGGGCCCCATGAAATGCCCCGGTACCTTTTATAGGCTTTTTTGGGTGTGCTTTGAGTGTGGTCAAGGACACAGGGGCCCCATGACCCCCTATTGCCCGGGGGCCCCACGAGTTTATCAGTCCACCCCTGTATCTAACTTAATACTGAACTCCAGGGATAATATATTTTGCACACTTGTATATTGGGCTGCATATTTGATTCCTGACTGACCTCTGAAGAAGCTGTAAATCACTGGATCAGCCCAATCTACTATAATGATGGCTTTAATCTTCCAGGTGCTCTTCTGCATGGTAATCATAGTGATGTACTCCCTCACCACTGCCACAGGGGCGCTCACTCAGCACTGCAAACTGTTCAGAGAACTTTCTCTCTAATTGGACGGGTTGGAGATTGTAGCATAACTTCCCCACCCTGGACTTGATTCAGTCAACGGCATTCACTAGAAAAAAGACAAGTCCTTCTCTGAATGGCTTAGCCCAGCCATCCATTCATTTTGCGTGGAACCTGGAAGATTGTGTCCATCATTACGGTAGCTCCAGCTACTACAGTGATTTACAGCTTCCACAAAGGCCAATCAGGTATCACATATGCATGCTTACATTGTGCCAAGCTGGCCTATGTAAGTAGGCAAAATATATCATCAATGAAAGTTCAGCTTTAAAACAGTCCTTTCAGAAACTAAAAAGATTAATGAAGTTATTGTGCAACTGTTGTGTGTCACTGTGTGAGTGGAAACTCTGTATGTTGCATACAGAAATAATTTCCTTCATCTTCTTTTTTCATGTCCTTAACTGTAAGTTGATAATTTGTTCCCGATCCCGATCCACTGAACCTCTCTGGGGACCCCAGGATATCTTTCAGTTTGCTTTAATATATAAGGCTTTGGTGTCTGTCCTGGTCTCTGTTGGAACCAGACTAAAGGATTATATTTTTGCTGCGGAATGGTAAATATCACCACTGGACGTACATGAAATGGTGAGTGTGTCTCCCAGTGATTTCACAATGTCTTGAGGTGTCTGAGTCAATACAACTTTCACAACAGGTATCTGATAAAATAAAATGTATACATGTTACACAAAATGTGGATGGTAAAGATTACAAGTTCATATCTCTGTATGCAAAATCAATTTCGCAAACTTGAGTCAGGGATTTTCACTTTATCAAATCATGATTGTTGTGTAGATGGCGAGTAAACTTACCTTGGTCCAAAGTATGACAACAATAAAGTGTTATCAGTCAGTTTTTACTGGATCCCTAATGACATCCTGCATTTGCAAAAATGATATATGTTGTATTTGTAAAGTAAAAAAAGTAAAAAAAAAAAAAAAGCTATAATACAATTCCTTACCTTGTATATAAAGAAAAAAAGCCACGGAGCAGGTAGGTCACAAGCATCATCTTGATGTCTCTGGACTGTCACATACACAGATCAATGGTTTCCAGCTGTTTATATCACATGAAATCTCCAGGGAAATAACCTCTATGTAAAATAGCAGAAATGTAAATTTCACTGTCATGTCCTATTTCTACACAATTATAACTGACTGCAGCCACCCATTGTGATGGGAAGCGTAGGCAGGACAGAACACACAAAGACGATGGTAAAACACACAAAGCTTTATTGAACTATGGAAGACACTCAATCAGGGCAGTTCATGGCACTAAAAACTCCGCAAAATACGGCTTGTAGAGGGACAATCACGGGGACTTAGCGGGACCTTGGACTGCGGGGTCTGACCTCAGCACAACTCCCGCTCAGCTCTCTAGGGGCAACATCAGGCTTACGGGGACTCAGCGGGACCTTCGGCTGGGGAATTCTGACCACAGCACAACTCCCACACAGCTCTCTAGGGAAAACATACAGGCTCACGGGGACCTCAGCGGGGTACCTTGGCTGTGGAGTCTGACCTCAGCACAGCTCCCACACAGCTTCTCTAGGGACGAACACCCGGACTCACGGGGACTTCGCGCGGGACCATTGGCCAGTGGGGTCTGACCTTCAGCACCGCTCCCACACAGCTCTCTAAGGGGACAACATTCAGGCTCACGGGGCACTCAGCGGGACCTTGGATGGGGATCTGACCTCAGCACAACTTCCACAACAGCTCTCTAGGGACAACATCAGGCTCACAGGGATTCAGCAGCGGACCTTGGCTGGGGGATATGATTCGCGGAAAGCGATGCTCAAGCACTCAGATGGGGGCAGTCGCAGGTTAGCGATAATCCGGCGCACGCAACATGGGCAGTTTTTAAGTAAGAGGTAATATCCGAGCAACTTACGAATAAGGGGCAGTTTCAAGCATGGGTTAGTTTAAGCACACAATAGGGGCTAGTTCAGGGCACTACTGCAACAATGCGGCTTTGTAGGGACACTCATTGAAGGCAGCTTGCAGACCCTCAGCAGTAGGGACGCTTGTAGGAACCCCCACGGGAGGCGGCTTGCAGACACTCAGCCAGCAGGCGGATTGTATGGGACACTTACTGGAGGAGGCTTGCATTGCAGACACTCAGGCAGCAAGCGGATTGTAGGAACACCACATAAAATGCGGACAGGAGACCCTCACAAAAACAGTCAGACTTTCCAAAGACAAACAGCGATCAGCGGACAGGGCCCTCACAGCGGATCAAGACATTTCCAGGGACAGCAGCCGTGCAGCGGCCCTCACAGCGGATCAGCTTGAGAAAGGAGCCCTCACAAACAGTCAGCTTTCCCAGGGACAGCTGCAGTCCATGCGGGCCCTTCAACTAGCGGTCAGCATAAGACAAGGGTCCCTCAACAGCTTGTCAACTTTTCCCAGAAGACATCAGCGATCAGCAGCGCAAGGGGCCTTTCAACAGTCGGTTCAGCTTTACCAGGGACAGCAGCGGGGAGTCCTGGCTGTGGTGTGTCGGGCCTCCAAGCTCAGATACCCCCACACAGCGCTTTACTCACCGAGCGCACAGGACCAACACAGCAGGCTTGCAGATAGGGACCACAGCAGGGCTTCAGGGGACTCGGCAGGGTCTTGGCTGTGGGTGTCTGGACTCAGCGCAGACCCCCGCACGGAAAGCTCACCTGGTTCGTGACGGGGACTTTGAGCACATACAACAGCCACGTAACAGGAGCGCTGGGTCCTGCGCCTGCCTTTTTAAGTGCCCCCGTGACGCTCCCGCGGTTGTCAACGAGGCATGTCCCCCTTGATCACGGGCCGCACTACCTCGGAGAGCGCGGCCTTGCGTCAGTGAGTGTTAGGCGCTGGGAAAACTTCACTGTGCCCCGCCGCTGCCAGTCGCCGGGCGGTCGTGCCGGCCCAATCAGGCTGACTTGCCCGCGGCCTTGGATACATTGGCCCCACAGGCAGTAGCCAATCACCATGCCATGAGTGCCAGCACCGCGAGGGCTACGTTGAAGGAGACAGACAAGAACATAGCTTTACACTAACATTAAACAAGGAAGTAGCTCATGATCTGTCAGCACAGTGATCTGACAAAGCAGGGAAATAAAATCTAGCAGCACACCTCAGAACAATAATCAACAAAGCTAGGCACACAGTTAACCATTTGATCACACCCTAGATTGTTTAAACCCCTTCCCGAGCCAGATTCATTAATACAGTGACAGTGTAATATTATTAGCACTGATCACACTGCTATTAGTGTCACTCGTTCCCACAAATGTATAAGGTTGTGTCAGACTGTCCACCGCAATATCATAGTCCCACTGTAAGTCACATGACTGCCTCGGCCTTACAAGCTATACAAAAAAAATTCTAATATGTATAACCTGTAGTTTTTAGACGCTACAAACTTCTAACTTTGTGCAAACCCATATGCTTATTGGAATTGTTGTTTTTACCAAAAAAAATGTAGCAGAATGCATTTTGGCCTGAAGTTATGAAGAAAATTAGATTTTTTTAAGTTTCTATATTGGGATATGTGTTATAGAAGAAATAAAAAAATAGTTTTTGTTATTTAAAGGTTTTTTTAATTTTTAATTTATACCCACGAAAAAAAAAAACCCAGAGGTGTATCAAGTGCACCAATCTATCTGTGGGAAAGAATTACATAAATTTAATTTATGTACAGTTTTGAATGACCTCAATAATTGTCAGCTAAAGTAACGCAGCGCCGTATAGGAAAAAATGGCTCTGGTCATGAAGGGGGGTAAATCTTTCAGAGCTCAAGTGGTTGTCCAACTTCAGAAAAATCTGAAAATTCTCCCTCTCAATTAGGCTGCGCCCCTACTGTAAGGATTAACTACTCACCTATTTTTGTTGAGAAAAAAAAGCACTTTTAATTACTCGATCTCACTGCTACCCTTGCAGACAGCACTCCCCCAATGCTCTGGTGGTGGACCCTGCATTGGTCTTGATGATGTGCGGATCATAAACTGCTGGAACATGGGGGAGAAGAAGCTGTGGGGACCAGTGTCACAGAGTGGAGGAGCAAAGGATAAGGTAAGTACATCTTGTTTTTTGTGACCCCTAGACCTAAATGAGCAGTACCTAGTCTTAATGCAAGAACAGTGTGCACCTAAAACCACCTCACATCATACCACTTACATTCTCTGCAAAACACCGACCCCCATAGATAAAATAGGCATACACCAATTAGGCCTCTTATACAGTATATATGTTTAAAACTGTCCTACAGTATTTTAATTCTTGTAGCAAAGCCCCAACCCTTGCTGCTTGGATCAATTTCTGTCAGTCAAAGGAGGTCTCCCATTTTCAATTGATGAAAAAGCAGGAAGAAGGAAGTGACGTGTTAATGTCTTAGAGCAGGGGTGTCCAAAACTTTTTTCAAAGAGGGCCAGGATTGGATGAAGTGAACATGGTGGAGGGCCGAACATTTTTCCGAACATTCTTTTGAATCCATTACAATTAAATGCAAATAAATAATTTTTATGCCAAGTTAATTGCAAACGACATACTTTTCATTTCATAACATTAAGATCAACCTGACAGCTGAGTTTTCACAATGTATTGAAAATAAATTTTTAAAAAACTTACCTGCACTAATGTGAAGGTGAAAAAAGGTAGCTGCAGCTGAAGTCTCTGCTCGGCAGCCTGGAGGGGAAGAGAAAACACACTTCACGCTGGAAGCCCAGCCCTGACGTCACCGCCCTCCTTTGCTCCCAGCGCGGGCACAATCACGCATGCGCACTGCTCTCAAGCAGAGACTGTCTGCCACAGAAGGGAGGGGCCGTGCGGTGCGACAGCCACATTTACACAGACCAGGGAGAACGCGCCGCAGTCAGGCATGCGCACTGCCCTCTACTCCTCAAGCAGAAGACTGTTGCCATAGAAGGGAGGGCCGTGGGAGAGGCCACATTACACAGAGCAGGGAGGGCTGTTGGAGGGCCGTATTAAAACCGACCCCGGGCCGTAAATGGCCCACGGGCCGGACTTTGGACATGCCTGTCTTAGAGAATGTACCTGTTCCAGTCTGTCAGTTCTGTGAATAAGCATAGTGTCTTCATGCCCATGCGTGTGTGTGTGTGTTGTGAAGCCTTCCTCACATCTGTTAGGATGTCTTTTTATGTTACATGTAGACGTCATAATTTGTGATCCTAGAAACCTTGTATGGCAAACAATATTGCTTAGCAGAGCAATTTCATTGAAGAGAGGAGGACACTACATATATGGTCTTTTGATTGACAAGCAGGGGCGGACTTGACCATTTGGAAACATTGGGCACTGCCCGAGGGCCGGGGTCAGTAGGGGGCCCCATGAGATGTCCCTGGTACCTTTTTCATAGGCTTTTTTGAGTTTGGGCAAGGGACACAGGGGTTCCATGATCCCCTATTGCCGGGGGCCCCATGAGTTGTCAGTCCGCCACTGTTGACAAGCCCATATGTATTTGGCTCCATAAGCTGGCAATGTTGCATCAGCCATGCTCATGAGACAGGTTTCTCTGTTAAATGATAGTATAACACTAAGAATCTATCTTTATAAC